CTACAGCCAATAAACATTCCGCCGCCACAGCTGCGCCTCCCCTGCTTGAACACCACCTGACAGCCACACAGACAAACTTCAGACCCGAGCGAAGCGAGCATTGTTTTTTTTATCCTGAGCAATCGTCATAATGCCACGAGCACCATCGGCACATTCGCTGGCTTGACGTAGCCCTGCAACCAAGGCAACGAGTACATGCGGGAAATTGCGCTGCTAGGTGGGCCGGGTAATTTGCTGGCTGTACACGAATGCAATCCCTCACCCAGCGACGTGTACACAACGAAGGAGCGCCGCCTGGGTCCGCAGAGCCGCACTCTCGATATGCTTACAGCCAACCACGCGCATTCCCAACAGAAAAAAGTTCATCGTGCTGTAAACCACTCAGATGGTCGTCCAACGTGATCTAAATGCCGTTCGTTGCCTCCCGCTCGCTTCCGGCTGTTCGACCGGTCCAAAGTCTAGGCCGCCATCTTCCCCAGACGAACCAGATGCTTCAACCCCACACCCTACTACCTCACCTGAAACCATCGCCTACGTACCGGCAGTTCCAGACGCAGAGAAAAGCATGGCTTCATATCTCCAGACCACTGCTCACCGGAATGGCGACTGAATTCCAACGATCAGCATCCTGCACTGCGGTACTAGCAGATCTAGACAACATCAGCATGCATGCAGTCTCTTCGCCCTATACCTGGCTATCGGAGCTCTGGTCAGTTATCGCAGGAGCTGATAGTTCAGCTTTAGCTACTACCACCGACCCCTCGATTGCGCGCCCCTCTTTCGCTAAGGCATACTGCAACGAGACGTGAGCGACAGCTGGTTGAGGCAGCGCCACTTCGTGACGACCTCTGACCTGGAACCCCGCAACGGAGTGACCGATGGTCGCCTCTGATGTTGTCCCGGTTAGGAACCTTATTGGTCGATTGTACACCTATACAGTTAGCAGGAAACCATCCGGCGCTCGATGTGAACTGCAATTCAGCTCACACCACCTGTTTGGTGATAAGCGCGATAGGTTTGTCGTTGGATCTGACTGTACGCTTCCGAAATGAATCCTTTACATGACAACTATGCAAGGGCAAAGCAGAGTTACCAGGACCCGCGCGCCAGTCAGCACCACGTTTCGTCCAGCTCTCGTCAGAAGTCTATCTTGCTTCCCACAGCTCGTCAGCCTGCATGAAGGATTGCAGCAAAGCGCCGAGCTCACTTGCGACGTGTACGAAGAACAATCCTTCATGCACATCCAACGTAGCGGGGGTGGGCAAGCATGCTTAGGCGAATTCAAGCATATTCAGCTAATTGGTTCTATTCATGGCTAGGTCACCCGACCCATCCTTCCCATCGTCACAATTTAAGGTTGACTCAGGGATCTTGCCCTAACTTTGCGCCTCTCTTTTCACGTCGTTCAGCTACTCGAAGAACAACGCGTGCCCGAACAATTACCGGATCTATTTGCTGGGCCCATCAGTAAGGCTTAACGAATGTCCACCCTATACCAGTTCTCTATTCGAGACGCGGGGCTCGCTGAAGGTGACGACTCCTTTATCATCTCAGTTTTTGATGCATCTCTCCCCTATCTGGAATCGATCGGGAGCCTAGCGCAATGGGGCTCAACTCCCTTTTCACAACGACCAGGTTGGGTTGAAGAAACGCAACGGCAGGTCCGAGAATCGAAGCACAGTCAAATCTCGGACACAACGGATGCCCTACGCATTCTTATTGTCGAAGCCGAACTCGTAGAGCAGGCAATTGCAGCTCCTGATCTGAAAGATATGCACTCGCGCGTCTCCGACGATGGGCGCTGTTTTGTGTCTGTCGGCTTTGCGTTCGTCCGCGGAAAGTGGTTCCCTACCTATCTTCCTGCAGCGACAATCCCACAAGCTGGACAATTCAAACTCGAAGAAAGTTTGTATGTTGAAGTCATGGTTAGCGATAGCCGTACGAAGGATCTATTTCGTGGGGTTGGAGCTGCACTTCTTCACGAGGTGCGGAACTATGGCCGTAGCCGGGGGAAGAAAGTTCTATACTTGGATGGCTGGGCAGGAAACGAGAGGAAGTTAATTCGGTTAGTCTCTCCTCCCTGTTGTCACTGGAGCGCACCATGTGGTACTGATTAGAGGTTCTTTTCTTAGGTACTACGAGCAACAGGGCTTTCACATAATTGCTGAGTTCAGCCTACCTCGACCGCACAAGGAGCCTTGGGTCGGTAACCTGATGCAATTGACGATCTAGTACGGAAGGATTATGGTACAACGCTGAATGACAGGCAACATAGGTCATAGCGAGTCACAATTCTTTTTCCTCTATGTGGTGGGTGGTTACGAGCACTCATTGGACCCTCGACCCCTTGCATCGAAAGCGCTCGGATGGGAACCAATAACCAACAGGGTCGTTGATCGTCCCCTGGACACTAAGGAACCGCACTCTGCTCAAGCTCCCGGATACCGGAGCGGGTCTCAGCGGTTGATGGGCTAGAAGACTTCGCTGCGACAAATTACATGTTTTGTTTGTATGCAAGTCGAAAGTCGGCGCGAACGTGGATTTGCGGTGAGGTAAACATCACTCTCGAATTTGGAGCATCAATCTCGATCCCCCCAATCAATAAAACTTGACTCTGCAAACCATTCAAAAAGTACGAATACGCTGCCGTCGGCTCCATGACGGCGATACTACCAGAAGGGTGTGTGGCACCTGACCATCACTGGCAGACGTTTTGGTCGCAGTAGCGCTGGGATGGGCGTCGCTTGTCCCATTCCATCGACCAAAAGAAAGCAGACATGCGGCACGGCAAACCTAATTCCTATCGATAAGGCGACCTCGTGGTTATACCTCCTAATCGGTGTACATCTTGACCCACGGTGGGACGTGTGCCTGGACTAGGGCGTTGCGCCACCAACTTTGAGTTTGCTGACACGAAAGACGATGATGAGGATATGCGTGTGATGAGCCGCTTCACGCTTAGCTGTCAACTTTGATGGCGCTAACGTATCTCGACATATGGGTACCAAACTTCTGGTGGCCTAACGATGTGCTATCGTACGCGAGGATGTCGACTTCGAAACGATGCGATAGCGTTGATAACATAGCGCCATGTTACTATCTGTCGTTGTCGTAAGCCTATACGCGCTGGCCAGACATAGCCAAGTCCCTATACCAAGATCCTCATCGGCGAAGACCAGAAGGAACACTTCATCTCAGACATGCGCATTCCTTCCAAAACCCTAAAACACGGTCTGATCACACCGGGAACTCTTTCTAGACCCTAACGGCCCGCATGGTTGGGGACAAAGGGATTTCCTCATGGGGATGTCGCTTGGATGAACGGCGTCTCTACCCAAGCGCTTGCTCCCGCTGGGTCCGCGCATCTAGTTCCAGCGGCCGTCCAACTGGGAATGAGGAGTTAAAGGGATGTCCTTTCTAGTCGTAGTCTGATATGACGAATTCCCGTTATATTGGCACCTAGGACACGGACTGGTGTCTACATCTTTGACCAGGTTCATGCGAATGATTAGACTACAACACATGTGGTTGTCATACTGCGGTAGACAGCACCATTCGTGATGCTTAGAGTCCAGAGACTGATATACCGTGCGCTTTGGGTCCATGACAGTATCTTAACGAGACATTAGAAAGACTTCCGAAGAGTCATCAAGATATGGGTAGACAGTACAACGAGTCAAACAATATCCATATACCTTGAATTGGTAGTCTCAAACTTCAACGGAGTACACCTCATCCATTGCCCTCGTGGCGCCGAATTCAATAAACAGAGGTCGCTACTACATACATGCAACATGCAAATCATCCTCGCGCACTACACAGCAATTACTTACACACATCCCACACATATCTCATCTCCCCAAAGTCTTCTTCACCGTGCTCTTCCTCTCATCCCTACTGAATCTCCCCACAATCCCGACAAATCAGCAGCCACGGGCCCTTAGTCGCCCACACCACATTCCCTCCGCAATCTTCACACGGGTCCTTTAGGATCATTACGTTCCCGTTCCTGTCTTTCTCTCCTTCGTCTCGGTAGTAGATGCCTTTGTCGGTTTGGACGTACATGCTGTGGTTGTGCATCTCGGGAGGAGAGGGAGAGTATTGCCCTGGATATGGTAAGGGTGTTGAGGCGCCGCTGGTTGATGCGAGTGGTGTTAGTTGTGAGGGTTTGGATGAGGGTGAGGGTGGAGATGGGGATGTGTACCTGGATGTGGGTATAGAAGGGGATTGAGGAGCAGGCATTGGGCATGTTGTACCAGAGATACTAAGTATAATCGGGTTTGTATGGGCAGAGCCGTAGACGGAGAAGTAAACTTCCAGCGGCTTGGATTGGCTTTGGGTGGACATGATGGGACTTTGATCTTGGTGGTGGAATTATTGGATCGTGCAAGCATGCGCGAGCTGGTTCGGGAGAACCCCCGAGTGATACGTTGATATAGACTACTGAAACCACGAAACGGGGTCTGAGGGTCCGCTGTGTGTTGGTCAAACACGGTTAGCTGACGATGCGGAAGAGTGAATGCGTAATGCTACTATCGTTTGAGTATGTTGACTAACCATGCGCGGATGCGTGTATGGGGAGTGAACCCCCTCTCCACACTTTCACCAGGATAACCACAAAGATCTCGAGAAGCAACTACTGGGGGCTAAACTGGCTGAATTAGACTACCGAGTCACTGTCGTAGCACAGACTGGATGAGAAATGGGTATCACTGCTAGGGTGATTTGGCTCATGGAGCAATACCTAGAATACTCTTGCATTGAAACAGAAACGTAAAAAGAAACCTAAATCACTGCGAATCTACCACCAGCATAGGTACACGTTCGATCTAGAATGCACTCTCGCGGCATATATTTCATAATGTCTCTTCTAAAGCGACACAAGGTCAATATTCAACGCCGCATCCCACTCCAATCATTCCGTGATTCCACTCAAGGTGGACCCAACCAGCCGCCGCATTGATAACCTAGCCAGATTAGTCGTTCGTCCGCCGCGCGAATTAGTTCGGAAACTGACATTCGAGACAGTCGACGTTGGTTTCATCTGAAGTGGGCAGAGGTAAGGGGGCATCGCAGTGCCAGCAGTGGCCGAAAGATCCAGCGTCGTTGTTGGAGTTTGCTTCGTCGTCGGAATCGTCGTCGTCGTCGGAGACATAAGGGATGAGAAGGTCGGTTTCGGATTCCGAGGTCTGCTCGTGTTCGTATGAGGTGTTTGGTGCAGTGTTGGCGGACTGTTTGGTTGGAGGGTTGGTTTGGGCTGTCATTGGAGGTTGTGTTCGCTTGTGTATACGGGATGTTTGTTAGAGAAGACTGGAGATATGGGGGCGGCATGACGGGCTACCGAAAAGCTTATGTATGTGGGTTTCGTGATGCACTCATGTATTCACAGTGGAGGCTTCGTGAAGCTGGAAGTCCAGCGAATAGCCGCATACACACTTCACTGTCGAAGTACTCACCAGTAGCGTAGCGTACGTAGCACTTCAGTCTGTCGAGGAAGCCCATGCTGTGGTGAAGCCTGGCGCCACTTTGATTCCATGAACGAGCAGCGTCCATAAGTTGAAGACGAATAATCAAGAGTCTTCTAGGAGGGTCATGTTGACATTCTACAACGCAGTAGAGTACTCGCAGTGAAGTGCACAGTATGGGTTTACATGGTGAATGGACATATTCTATTTAGCAAATACCCTCCGAAACCTTCCTCCCACCACCACCCGAATTAGCACACACGAAGACAACTCGACCAAACGCCGACTACCAAAGACACATACACTCATAGAAGCAAACGTCTACCACACCTACCGAACACTCGTACAACCCACAATGAACAATTACACTGAACCAAAGGGCAGGGCCAGCTCGGGCGCACCAGCGCAGTCATCAACAACATACCCCAAGGCAGAAGCTGGTGGAGTTGACCTGGCAAAATGTAAAAAGTGTGGAAAGCCACTGGTATGCTCGAACTTGGGACGCCGCGGAGAATTGCTGAACTGTAAAGTATGTGGCGCGCTTGCGCCGTTTCCATGATCGGTGCAAGGGACCAGGAGGCAGTAGCCAGTAGGTGAATACTAAGAGGCGAGGATGGGGTGATCTCTGTGCGCGTAATCTATGTATAATTATATCGTCATGGCCAGAGTCATCCGAACATTGTATTTGATTTGAGTGATTGCCTTTCTTCGTATGTTTATGAATCCCTCAGTTCCGCAACAGCAAAGTAGCCTTTACTTTCCACCACGCCTCTGTCTTTGACAACAGCCGTATATTTGACTACCCACTGCGGCTCTACATCGCCCTTAAGCCCATCTTGATTTCCTTCTCCTGCCAATACACCGGAGCCGTTCTCCCCTGAACCGAGTATTTGACGTAGCGTGCCACGGGGTAAGATGTTGGTGCAGTCATTATGTGTCAGAAGCTCGATTTGCTGTTGCTTCGCGTATAGTATTAACGGCTTTGGTACGACACAGCAATCCCGCACGTTGATCTGATTCACACTTGGTTTTATCTTGGTCTGCTCGAGGAACTTTGTCAAGCGCGCGACGCCGAATTCTGCGATTCCCAGTTTCGATACCAAACCCTCTGCGTGCAGTTTCTCGAGCGATCGCCATGTTGCTACCATGGTTTCTATGTCTTCTGGTGGCGCGCCGGCGTCGGGGCAGTCGCCCGTGGTGTTTTCGGTTGTGGATTGTGTCGCGGAGGGGGGCGAGGGCGGTTCGTCGTCGTCATCGAGGTCGGAATCTTCATCGTCGGCGTCGAAGGATACGCCGGGGAAGCTGACGATGAGGAGGTCTATCGAGGATGTGCCCAGCTCTTTCAGCACGAGTTCTATCGCTTCTCGTGTTTGTGCGCAGCGTCTGTCGGTGGGTATGTTGGGGAGGTAGAACAGTTTTACTGTGATGTCGTAGGACTCTCGCGGTTCGGTAAGGGGTGAGGGTGTGTGCGTGGGTACGTATAGGGCGGAGTCGGTCTTGGTAGTCCATGTTGTGTAGTCGGGTTTTGAGGGTGTTGGAGAGGGTTGGTGGGCAGCGAAGTTTGCGCGGAGGGAGGAAGTAAGTTCGGTGTTTGATTTCTCGAAGAAGGGTCGTCTTATCACGGAAGGACCACCGGACATGGTATTTCTGGGTTGTTAGGTAAGGCATTTGGAGAGATGGAGAGACATACGACGTCGATAGTACGAGCTTCATGATGGCGACCAGTCGTATCGCGCAATTATGACGCGAGATAGAACAGTTCTGACGAAAGAGCCTCCTATATTGTGTAGTGGTGACTCTTCGGGGGCATTCGAGATGCCGATGAAGGGTGAACGTTTGTCAGCGGGTGGGTCGTCTTAGGAGAGCAGTCGCGTCGGATGTGCAGTAGCGCAGATATTTCGAATCGCAAGGCTTTAGGCAATGATTACTAGGAATGGGCCGAGAGTAGAATTGCTGGCGCGCAAATGTCTACTGTCCAGACTTCGATGGTGATAGCGGGGATATGAGGGCGCATTGGCGTCTCAAAGTCGCGGGGCTGGCCTGTGACCGCCGATCGCCGAACCTAACATCTTTCCCCATTGCGCCAGACACAAGCTACCGCCATCTTCTCCTCACACGACACCATGACGATCAAGTAAGATGCACTTCCATACACTGCCCATAACGAAATATAGCGCTAACAGCTCAGGTACCTCATTCTGCTGTCCCGGCAGGGCAAAGTGGTTGGTCCCTCACCCTAGAATCCCTAGTCCCTTGCTGAAGCTCGCAGCGCCTAGCCAAGTGGTTCACCACCCTCGCCCCCAAAGACAAGGCCAAGATTGTCAAAGACGTCTCGCAACTCGTCCTCGCCCGCCGCACCCGCATGTGCAACTTCCTAGAGTACAAAGGTCAGTGGGTCCGGCAGGGGTAAGAGCTTCGCTAGCTCACACTTTCTCCAGACACCAAGATCGTATATCGCCGATATGCCTCGCTCTTCTTCATCGCCGGCTGCGACTCAACCGACAATGAGCTGATCACGCTCGAAATCGTCCACCGCTACGTCGAGCAGATGGACAAGTACTACGGCAACGTCTGCGAGCTCGACATCATCTTCAACTTCCAAAAGGCCTACTTCATCCTGGACGAGCTACTGCTTGCCGGTGAGATGCAAGAGAGCAGCAAAAAGAACGTGCTCCGGTGTATAGGACAGCAAGACAGCCTCGAAGATATGGAGGTGAGTGAGGTGTGATGACTTTCGGGTCTGTTTCGCCGCACGCACCCATAGCGCCAGCTGGCTGACACGCCCTGTCGTCAGGCTGAGGACGATATCGTTACCAAGATTATGTAAAAGTGTACGGAACGCACTGTCGCACCTCACCTTCTGGCCCTCCGTCACCGCCGTCCCAAGAGTTCCCACTGACCGCGCCTGATGGCTTCCAGAACGCGGATGAATTCAAAGGCCGACTTCGAGAGAGCGGCATCTTGTAGACCCGATCCGGCATCCGCATACGAACACACATTGTACGGCGTTATTGGAGTTTGGGGTAGGGCTACGGCACACAGTCGACTGTCACAGCACGGCTCATGCTAAACAACTTTCCAAGGGCAGGCGTCAAGAGCGAAACGATATCACACGGCGCAGGGGTTGGATCATCTGGAGAACGCACTACCTGCCATCCTGCCTTGTAGAGCGGATGGCGGTAGCTGTACTCTATCTACTACAATTCATACACCTCGGACTGGCGGGCTTGCTCGACACAGCTAGGTTTGACACAAGCGGTTCAAGGGCTCGAACGTGATCACACATCATGATATCGAGACTTCACCCTGATAGACTTGACAACTCTCTCTCCCTTTTTTCCTTTTTCCTCATGCTGGTACACTTACCTTATTCATCTAGCTACAGGTCTCCACACCGCCGAGACACTGCGCACCTGCACTTCGTGACAGCAATTGGTTCGGATCAGCGTTTGGTCCTTCATCCAGAACCTTGACATGCATTCATCAAATGATACGTTGCCGAATTCACGTGGATTCATCTCCAGGCATCTTCTATCCTTCACGTGCTCGACCATCAGATGACATGCCCCGCGTACCAGACACACTCGGTATGGCCGCGTACAACTAACATCAACACTCAACACCAGTCGCCTACCCATCCACTCTTATCGGCAGCTGTTGTTGGTTGAGAGGCAGGTTGCGCATCGACCAATCAGGAAGGACGACCCGACACACATGCCGCTGTTAGCTCGGCGACACCGCCAAGCTGACCTTCTCCGCAATCGCGACCACGTCGTTACAGCGACACCGACATCTCACACCACTGCCACGCCCAAGCCATACATATGTCCACTGCCTGCTAGACGATCGTCTGGCCGAACGACAGTACCCTCTCCTCTCCGCAGCCAGCCTAGAGTCGTGTTTACTTGTTGTATCGGTTCGCGCAGGCTACCCCCTCCCGACCACAGCCACACCCACGCCCAGCAGCCACGGCGCGCTGAATCATACCGTATCTCGAAGATTTCGGATCATACGCGAGATATTCTATAATAGGCACTCAGCCCAAACGAGTCCACATCAAGCGCAATGAAGGTAAGTGCTCGATGCGATAAGGCCAGAGTGACGACATAGCTGACCCGGTGGCACCGTAGTACCTCGATTTGTGCGCCCTCCACGAGGTCAACCTCGCCCTCAACTTCGACACACAAGACACAGCAATCATCGGCGGATGCGATCTCTGGACGATTAAAGCAGCGGGAAGCGACAAGAAGTTGTACAAGCGCATCGAGAGGACGCTCGAGGAGCGGCACAAGGACCTGCTATCAGCGGTTGCGGGGCTGTCCGAGCAGTCTGCAGCTCAGTTCGCAGACCAACTCGACATCTCCCGAGACACGCCGTTCGGATCCTTCAGCGAAGCAGCAAACCGTCACACCTTCGCATACCTCATCGCGACGCTCAATGCCACACACATCGATTACGACTTCGCGAACACGCTGAACCCCGATGAGTTCCGTCGCGAGACCATCCACAGCTTCATGCACAAGATCGACACTACAATGTACTATCTCCGCCCGCAAGTGTACTCCGCCGGACTACCAGCAGGCGCAGTCACACCGCTTGGGTCGCCGATATGGAGTCCGCGAAGTTGGCACCTGCTCGACACAGAGATGGACATGTCGAGCTGTGAATACTATGCATGGGAGCCGTCAGATGACCCCTTCGCTGATGACGGTGCGATTTGGAGTCACCACTTCTTCCTGTACAACAAGGAGCGGAAGCGAGTCGCATACTTCTATCTCCGTGGGATATCGGCTTTGTCGAACTCACCAAGTGTCGCCATGTCGCTCATGTCAAAATTCAAAGCATCGAAGTACGAGTCCAGTGCGAATGCGGGCAGTAGGAAGCGCGCGGAATACTGGCTCGGCGATCGTGCTAGGAAGGGACTTGAGGCATACGGAGACAGTGATGAGCTCGACAACATGGTCATTGATCACCCCGGTGATGTCGTCGACGCAGAACAACAGCGCTACCTGCCTGCCAGAGACATGAGCATGGACG